GATTATCAGGGAAGCCGTCTGCATGCTTCTCGTCACAAGGTGACGAGGCAGCATGAAGCCGGCTTCCTGGCCAATCAGATATCCGGGCACTGCATCATTACACGGTACCAAGCTTCCTGATTGGCCAGCTTCCCGACCAACCAGGAAGACGGGCAGCGACTCACTACACACTTCCCGGCTTCCTGATTGGCCGGTAAGCCGGCTCCATGCTCCCTCATCACAAGTGACGAGGGAGCATGGAGCCGGCTACCTGGCCAATCAGGAAGCCGGACAGCGTGTAATGAGGGCTGGGCATCGGAGCATTCGTGTGAGTACTCGCCCAAATGCTCGCCACTGATACCGATACTAGTATCGGTGCATCCCTCGTATGTAATAAGGATGGAAGGGTTAAATACAAAGATGTTTTTGAGGGGGGAAGGGAGGATGATATTGGTGCTCTACCAACTGGATGGTCCGAAGATGAACGCCCGTCCATGAAACGCGTTAGCCAGGACGCACACTAGAGATAGTGACCACTTGCCTCCTAGTGGGGTCTTCAGTGGAGTATTTCCCCATCCAGTCGGTGGAGCAGATTTATACTATTCGCTGCTTTGCCAAAACCCTTTGTGAGTACAAAATATAATTACACAATAAAGTTTTGTTGAAGAGGTCACATGATGTTGGGGGGGTGTTTCCTCTCCGTTCTGTTCAAATGAAATTAAATCGGCAATTTTGTGATAAACGATCCGATTTTTGTCCGGTGAAGATTTGTTCCGTCTGCTTACGGTTGGTGGAAATGAACAGATAAAGGAATCGAATGTCGTCGTGTTCGGCATCTTCGGAGGTGACGGCTTCACAGAGGAGGGTTTTGGTTGGGAGTTCTTGCGGTTGGAATCGGCACTCCTCGGCACGATGGTTTGCGTGCCGGCGCTCGGGCCGATCTCATGCGATTTGAATACTGAGCTCCGTCCTGACGATCCCGCGCGTAGAGGTCACTCCGAGCCGAATGTCACTTCTCACATTCAGCTCTGAGGTGCCAATCTTCCCGTCTTGGCTCTCTCCCGCCGTGGAGTTGGCTCGCCGAGTGCGCCGTGGGCTCGTATATTCTCCGAGAGGGACCTGCGTTTGGCTGCGTGCTTGGAGGTGATTTGTCGGGGCGGTTGAGCTCGCGGGGTGGATTTGCAGCCGATGACCTCGCTGTCAGGTGGTGGAGCTCCGGAACAGATGGTCACCTCCGAGCGGGACAGCCGGCCGAAACTCCAGCGGAGGAGCGGAAAGACGAACGAAGGACATCCGAAAAGAAAAGTCCAAGCCGTGCACTGTTTTTTTTTTTCTTGTTTCAATAAACTTTATTGACACCACTTCATGGCCAATCTTGCATCAGTACTCTCGCCGGATTTGACTCCTCCCCTTCTGCGTTTCACCCTCAAGCAAGTGATATTAAACTTTACATTTTAGCTGCTGAGGTCCACACTCATTATTTGCTGCGTCTTCATCTATTAAAGAGTTATTTTCTTCCTCTTGCAGCTGGTCACATGATCACTGCCCCCCCCACCCCCCTTCCCAATCTGGGGTGGCCACGTTCCCTTGCAGGGTTCTACAGAGCCACCCTAATAATGTGCAGTCCCGGGGGAGGACTGTGAGGACGCACCCCGCGCCGACACACACACAGGCAACCTGAGGACACTAGACACGATAAGACGCCTCTGCTCCTCCTCCTCCCGAGAGGAAGTGATTGCAAGCGTCTCACAGGGGCCACGCATGGATGACAACGCTACAAATTATTAGATGTCCTGAGGAGAGGGGGATGGGGTTACTATAAATGTAGTGCGCACTGGCCAACCAGAACTTCAGGGAGACGGTGCAGTGGAAGGCAGTGGTTGCAGCTTTAGGCCTCCTTCACACTGCCGCGCGTCTTGTACCATATGCAAATAAATGGCTCCATACACACAGCCGCGTTTTGGAGCCGTATATTTGCGTAGCGTATATATGCGCAAAAACAGAATGGAACAAAGATGCGTCCGGGCAGCGTGTTTCTGCGCATATATGCGCGTACGTGCGTACAGCACATTAAAAATTCCATTACGAGTGATGCATTCTGGGATTGCATATAGATGCGCATAGACGCAATATACAATTTTGCATTGTGTGTGAATGAGGCCTTAATCTAAACATATGTTTTTTGACTTTTTGGGAAAGAATGATTTATAGTTCTGAGAAGAATTTCTAATTATTGACATGTTTATAAAAAAAAAAGCCACAGAGCCTCCGGTGTACATTAATCATAGAACCTGATTGAGGGCGAAACGCGTCAAAGAGGGGGTCACATCCACCGGGAGTAACGAACATCATGCCCATGTTACTCACCGGGAGCAACTGGTGAAAGGGAGTGAAAAATTAATTTCTGATTTGTCTTTTTTTGTTCCGTAATCTCTCTCTTTAGTACTTTCTGATATATATCAGTATATCGGGAGTGTGTTTTTTTTTTTTTTTGAAGACCGCGGTGTGTTCGCGCGCAAAAACTAAACACCATAGTGAGCAAAAAGAACGCATGTGAACACACACACGTACACAAAAAGTGCTCTAGGGTGCTTCAAAAGGTCCATCTCCTGAAGGGATAGGCCTGCCCCCCCTCCCGCCTTGGGGCGCAAGGCTCCTGACAGGGGCAGATCACTCCCACCTCGCTGAAGCTGACCTCCAGGTATTAGGTTGGGGGCTCCTCCGAAGGGAGACCCCCCAGTTCAGGGGAGGAAGGAACCTAATGGCCATACATCCTCCCCCTAGACTTTAGGGCAGGACCGAGGACCCGCACCCTCCATCCTGTAGAGGGGTGTAGAGCAGAATAGGCAGGTGGTGTTGTGGCCTGAGGGTCTTTCACCCGGAGGGGCCCCAAACCCATAGCACCATAAGCACTGCCAAGGTGCCATTCCTATGGGTTGCTTGTCACCACGGGCTCCCTGACTTCCCAGCCCATGACCAGACCACTTAGTCCTGTTAAAATCAGAAGGCACTGGGACCCTCCGGATCCTGGACCAGAGGAAGTACACCGACCCCCAACTCTTACATGAATGGATGCTCAATTAGGTTTCCTTAACCCCGTGCAGGGCTGGAATTGCCACAAGGCCACCGAGGCCCGGCTTCTGAGCAGCAGGGAGCAGAGGGGCCGCAGCAGTGTGGAATCCCCTGACGCCCGGGAACACGCAGTCCTGGGCGCCAGGCAGTAAGTTGTTCTACACATGTAGCCCTGCTTTGGGCAAGCCGAGCTAAATGTAGAGCGGGGGAGGCCACTTGTTTGTTTACAAGTCATCTCGGCGATGTCACCAAGATCACTTGTATGCAGCTGGCAGGTCTGCCCTCCCCCGTCGCCCCCCGCACCTTCCTCTCTCCTCGCCGGCCGCCGAAGTCTTCAGGATGGAGAGCGGGGAGCACTAGTGATAAACTTTAAAAAATAAATAAAGAAACAATAAAATATATTAAAACTAACCCTGCCACCCCCGCCATCCAGTTGCCATTCTCCATTGGGAGAGGGGGGGGGGAAGGGGGACGCATTGAAAAACCCGGCCCTGACCCCTTCCAGGACCCTCATCATCTCAGGCAGGGTACTCTGCAGCTGCCATTGTTGCCATAAGGCCGGGACAGCGGCACATCTTCCCCCCGGAGCACTGATGGGAGAAGGTTTCAGACTGACATACAAAGTGTTTATTTCAGGGAACTGATATCGTGAAAGCAATAAATGTTTTCTGGGGCAACGTTCTCATTTTTCCCCATTTCTGGCTTTCAATAAAATGTATTGAAGATGTCCGTTTATTTCATGTTCTCGATGGATCGGACTCTGAGTCGGACTCGTAGGCGGCGGACGGCTTTTAGTCTCTAAAAATATTAACAAAAGTAAAAGTCGAGCTAAAAACAGCTGCGGGCGGGCTGAAGTCACGTACAGATCTCCACCAGGGACGGAACATATTAGGAAGATTCCACTTCAGCTTTCTCTGTATAGTTTCCCTTTGCTCCGCCTCTCCCAAACCTCCATATTGGTCAGTGAGGCCGCATGTTACATACATGACCAATAGAGCACCAGTACACGGGGTGAGGAGAGGGTCTGTGTGTACATTCAGATGTCTTCATATCTTGATTCACCCGATAGAGGAGGAGCTTGGAGCGGTGACTACTCTACAACACACACAGGGACCATGGGGAACAGACGTAGCCCCCCTCCAGAAGGAAGGACAGTGTCAGAGATGATTGGAGGATCTCCAGCCGAGTGATACACAAATAAGATACATTGTTGCTCAGAGTTCAGGGACTTGGAGGGATTTAGGATTTACCTCCGGAGTGATATCCAGTAATAATGACCTCTGCTTAAAGGGACACTACACTCCGAAGGTAAATCCTAAATCCCTCCGAGTCCCTGAACTCCGAGCAACAATGTATCTGATTTGTGTGTCACTCGGCTGTAGATCCTCCAATCATCTCTGACACTGTCCATCCTTCTGGAGGGGGGCTACGTCTGTTCCCCATGGTCCCTGTGTGTGTTGTAAAGTAGTCACTGCTCCAAGCTCCGCCCCCGGGATGGACTACAATCTCAGGTTTAGTTTACTCATTTGTACTGAGATTGTAGTCCATCCCAGGGGAGGAGCTTGGAGCGGTGACTACAACACACACAGGGACCATGGGGAACAGACGTAGCCCCCCTCCAGAAGGATGGACAGTGTCAGAGATGATTGGAGGATCTCCAGCCGAGTGATACACAAATAAGATACATTGTTGCTCGGAGTTCAGGGACTCGGAGGGATTTAGGATTTACCTCCGGAGTGTAGTGTCACTTTAAGGGGTTTTTCTATCACATCCTCGATGTGAATTGCCGGGTCTCTGACATGTTTCTTGCCCTCTTCCAGCAGCCAAATTCTCACATTGTCAGTTGTGTTCTCTCTTAGAATTGAATTGCAGATTTCCCGCCCTGTACACTGTATATATTATACACACCATGGAAGAGCCGGATCTGACCTGTTCTCTGTGTTTTTCAGATTGCCTTCTCCCAACACAACACCATCATGGACCTGGTCCAGTTCTTCGTCACCTTCTTCAGGTAAGAACCGATATCCTCTGTAAGGTGCCAATGTAGTCACTTCTCTGACTCTCCTCTCCCCAATACTCTGCTGGAGGACTCTGCTCCTTCATCTATAACTCTCCTCTCCTGATATACTCTGCTCTGCTGGAGGACTCTGCTCCTTCCTCTGACTCTCCTCTCCTGATATACTCTGCTCTGCTGGAGGACTCTGCTCCTTCCTCTGACTCTCCTCTCCTGATATACTCTGCTCTGCTGGAGGACTCTGCTCCTTCCTCTGACTCTCCTCTCCTGATATACTCTGCTCTGCTGGAGGACTCTGCTCCTTCCTCTGACTCTCCTCTCCTGATATACTCTGCTCTGCTGGAGGACTCTGCTCCTTCCTCTGACTCTCCTCTCCTGATATACTCTGCTCTGCTGGAGGACTCTGCTCCTTCCTCTGACTCTCCTCTCCTGATATACTCTGCTCTGCTGGAGGACTCTGCTCCTTCCTCTGACTCTCCTCTCCTGATATACTCTGCTCTGCTGGAGGACTCTGCTCCTTCCTCTGACTCTCCTCTCCTGATATACTCTGCTCTGCTGGAGGACTCTGCTCCTTCCTCTGACTCTCCTCTCCTGATATACTCTGCTCTGCTGGAGGACTCTGCTCCTTCCTCTGACTCTCCTCTCCTGATATACTCTGCTCTGCTGGAGGACTCTGCTCCTTCCTCTGACTCTCCTCTCCTGATATACTCTGCTCTGCTGGAGGACTCTGCTCCTTCCTCTGACTCTCCTCTCCTGATATACTCTGCTCTGCTGGAGGACTCTGCTCCTTCCTCTGACTCTCCTCTCCTGATATACTCTGCTCTGCTGGAGGACTCTGCTCCTTCCTCTGACTCTCCTCTCCTGATATACTCTGCTCTGCTGGAGGACTCTGCTCCTTCCTCTGACTCTCCTCTCCTGATATACTCTGCTCTGCTGGAGGACTCTGCTCCTTCCTCTGACTCTCCTCTCCTGATATACTCTGCTCTGCTGGAGGACTCTGCTCCTTCCTCTGACTCTCCTCTCCTGATATACTCTGCTCTGCTGGAGGACTCTGCTCCTTCCTCTGACTCTCCTCTCCTGATATACTCTGCTCTGCTGGAGGACTCTGCTCCTTCCTCTGACTCTCCTCTCCTGATATACTCTGCTCTGCTGGAGGACTCTGCTCCTTCCTCTGACTCTCCTCTCCTGATATACTCTGCTCTGCTGGAGGACTCTGCTCCTTCCTCTGACTCTCCTCTCCTGATATACTCTGCTCTGCTGGAGGACTCTGCTCCTTCCTCTGACTCTCCTCTCCTGATATACTCTGCTCTGCTGGAGGACTCTGCTCCTTCCTCTGACTCTCCTCTCCTGATATACTCTGCTCTGCTGGAGGACTCTGCTCCTTCCTCTGACTCTCCTCTCCTGATATACTCTGCTCTGCTGGAGGACTCTGCTCCTTCCTCTGACTCTCCTCTCCTGATATACTCTGCTCTGCTGGAGGACTCTGCTCCTTCCTCTGACTCTCCTCTCCTGATATACTCTGCTCTGCTGGAGGACTCTGCTCCTTCCTCTGACTCTCCTCTCCTGATATACTCTGCTCTGCTGGAGGACTCTGCTCCTTCCTCTGACTCTCCTCTCCTGATATACTCTGCTCTGCTGGAGGACTCTGCTCCTTCCTCTGACTCTCCTCTCCTGATATACTCTGCTCTGCTGGAGGACTCTGCTCCTTCCTCTGACTCTCCTCTCCTGATATACTCTGCTCTGCTGGAGGACTCTGCTCCTTCCTCTGACTCTCCTCTCCTGATATACTCTGCTCTGCTGGAGGACTCTGCTCCTTCCTCTGACTCTCCTCTCCTGATATACTCTGCTCTGCTGGAGGACTCTGCTCCTTCCTCTGACTCTCCTCTCCTGATATACTCTGCTCTGCTGGAGGACTCTGCTCCTTCCTCTATAACTCTCCTCTCCTGGAATACATTGCTGGAAATGAAGAAAATGCTGACTTTCTGGCAACCCCTTATCCTCAGCCTATCAGTGCTCAGTCCAGGAATCCCCGGGCTCCTCCCCTCCTCCGCACTCTTCTAATTATTCACATCTCAATGTGCTTCTATGGGGGAGGAAGTTGTAGTTCTGAAGGGAGATGATCGGGTGGCTCAATGTGGAAGCGTCCAATCATCGCCCTGCAAAGGATCATGGGAGAATGGTCGCAATCCCTCCGGTAATCATGTGACTTTTATACAATGTATCCATTTGTTTTCCCCTGAGCTCCTCTAATATCTGATTGTTGGGGATCGGAGCCGTTTCCGTCGTCACGTTCATGTTCGCGGTCGCTGTCTCTCTGACTGGCGGCCATGATTGCCACGAGGAAAGGAACAACAGATAGGAAAGATTTGGCGGTGCGGGTCGTGAATTCCGCTCGGCGACTACATTGCGCCCATTCTCCCCCCTCCCCCGAACATCAGCAATAACCGTTGTGCTGCCAATTGGATCTTCTTCAAAGCTGGCGGGAAGGAGAGTCGGGAGATTTTAGTTGTGCGCAGGACTATCCGAAATCCGCCCGAGCGCAGAAATGACTCCTCGGCGCCATTAAGTCGGCGCAGTCCCTTCCCCCGCCCGCCCTTCATTTATTGTCCAGTAGTCTGGAAGTTGTAGAAGACGTAACATTTGGAGCCGCGGAATGAGGGGCGACCATCGAATGATTCCCCATACAGGATGAAGCCGCCGCGCTCCATCAGCCGCTCTCATCTCGGGGCGTGCGAGCGCAAAAATAATTTCACAGCGAGGTGATGCCACGGCCCCGGCTGTCCCGGACTGGAAGATGACACCTGAGGACGCCGATAGAGCGCAGGATGAGTTTACATGACGCCCCATTAGTCCCCGGAAGGTGACACGGGCGCTGATCGGACTTCCGAAGTCCCGGAGATTATTTCCAGACCAGCAACGTCTTCCCCCGGACACTGAGGAAGGCCAATAGAGGGACCTGTTTCTGTACATCTTCCAGCTGCTGCAGATGATCAGTTTGTAAAGAAGGACATTTAAGGAAACATGCTCCGTGTATGGAGTGCGGGAATTTGCCATATTTTATTATTTGTTCCTCAAAGCTCCCCATTTCAGGGTCTCAAATGTACCCCGAAATATAATGCTGAACTGCCGACAGACATCCAAATACAACCGCTTCAAGTCAAACCTTTCCGTTCTCATTGCAGACCTTATTATAGGCCCAGTGATGTCATCTGTACTTCTCTATGCAATGCAGGCAGATCATGGCTGGTGGGAGGGGCCGGCAGGGGGCTGTACATAGCTTCCTGATAACAATCACAGCACCCGGCCTCAGTTCTCCTCTCTAGAGTGGGCTGGCTCTTGGGAGGAGTTATGCTAATATCAAAATGGGTGGGTGTCTGTTTGGAGGAGTGGGCGTTCCTAGTCAGGCTTAGATAACGCCCACATGTGACGCTGAGCCTCCATCATTGAAAGTACTGAAATCCAATGAATGAAAGGGGCGGGGCCAGGGACACATATAAGACTGAAGGGAAGGACGGAGGTCAGATAGAAGACTGAAGGGAGGGACGGAGGTCAGATAGAAGACTGGAGGGAAGGACGGAGGTCAGATAGAAGACTGAAGGGAAGGACGGAGGTCAGATAGAAGACTGAAGGGGAGGCCGGAGCTCCTCCTTTATTTGATGTTTGTATCTAGCGGTAGTTTCGGCGTTCGTTGTCGGTTGGGTTCGGAGGTTGTTTGCTCTCGGCAGATCATTGCAGCGTATGACGGACCTCCATCTCTCTCTGCATTACATTGTATCCGGCCGTCTGGTTACATCGCCAGCGCTTGTTCTGTCCTAATCACATCCTCCGGCGTTGTCGTTGCGCCGGCCGGCTAGAGCCGTATTATAAACGCGTCTCTCTCTGATTGGGACGCGGCCCGCCTCTTCGGCCTCCGAAGTAAATTGCGCGGCGAGCTCCGGGGACGGCGATGTTCGGGCCGTGAAGTGGAAATGGACTTATTGCATTCGATCGGAGGATCGGCCCGAGCTGTGTCTCTTATTCCCCGGCTAAGCCGCCATCAATCACTCGGCGCTGTGTGGGTGTTCCGCGGCTCGCCCCCTCCGCTCAGCGCCGCCGCTCATTATGCGTCGCTTTCCTAAAGAACTTTCCGCGGCTTGTGAAATTAAAATCTAAATTGCACCGCGACATTGTCAGCAAACATTTCAGAAGCCTTCAGTCGCGGCAACGCCGGAACGCCGGAGGGCAGCCGAGCAAGATTGAAGTATTATTACTTTATAAAGTGATCATCGCTGCAGGGGATCATGGGAAATGACACGGGGGAGGGGTGGAGGGGGGCACTGAGGGCTTCTGGATGGCACTTGGAATTGCTCCACTTCTCTGATGGTGACAACTGTAGACCATGTCCGTGTAATGTGTGTTCGAACGGCCTCTTGTAGTCTCCATCAGAGGCCCGGGTGACAACGCAGGAGGACAATTTGGGGATTGTCACCCTATAACAGGAAGTTCCTGAAAAAGGACAGAGCGTTGTCAATCTATAACAGGAAGTGCCTGAACAAGGACAGAGCGTTGTCACCCTATAACAGGAAGTGCCTGAACAAGGACAGAGCGTTGTCACCCTATAACAGGAAGTGCCTGAACAAGGACAGATCGTTGTCAATCTATAACATGAAGTGCCTGAACAAGGACAGAGCGTTGTCAATCTATAACAGGAAGTGTCTGAACAAGGACAGAGCGTTGTCACCCTATAACAGGAAGTGCCTGAACAAGGACAGATCGTTGTCAATCTATAACATGAAGTGCCTGAACAAGGACAGAGCGTTGTCAATCTATAACAGGAAGTGTCTGAACAAGGACAGAGCGTTGTCACCCTATAACAGGAAGTGCCTGAACAAGGACAGAGCGTTGTCAATCTATAACAGGAAGTGCCTGAACAAGGACAGAGCGTTGTCACCCTATAACAGGAAGTGCCTGAACAAGGACAGAGCGTTGTCACCCTATAACAGGAAGTGCCTGAACAAGGTCTTCCATGGCAGGATCGCCCGGGATTATTGTAATGAAAGCTGCAGATTTAGAAAGATTGAAACGACTTGAACGTGGTGAAGGAGATATGACATTTTAATGATTGGGTTTACCCTGTAAATGTTTGTTCTCGGTGATCGTTTTGTTGCATATTAGTGTAATATTTTGTCTTGTTATCTCTCCAGCTGCTTCCTGTCGCTCTTGCTGGTGGCCGCGGTGGTGTGGAAGATCAAGCAGACGTGCTGGGCCTCGCGGCGGAGAGAGGTTTGTCCCTTTCAGAGTTTTCTTTTACCTGTAAAACCGTCTTTTGTTGCAGCAGAAAGTTAGGGTGAGGCTGAGTCGCTGAGATCAACAAGAGCGGGGATAAAGGGCGAAGGGAGGATTGGACATTGGGTGAACATTCACTCGTATGCGCGCTGGAACATTCACTCGTATGCGCGCTGGAACATTCACTCGTGTGCGTGCTGGAACATTCACTCGTGTGCGTGCTGGAACATTCACTCGTATGCGTGCTGGAACATTCACTCGTATGCGTGCTGGAATATTCACTCGTATGCGTGCTGGAATATTCACTCGTATGGGTGCTGGAACATTCACTCGTATGGGTGCTGGAACATTCACTCGTATGCGTGCTGGAACATTCACTCGTATGCGTGCTGGAACATTCACTCGTATGCGTGCTGGAACATTCACTCGTATGCGTGCTGGAATATTCACTCGTATGCGTGCTGGAACATTCACTCGTATGGGTGCTGGAACATTCACTCGTATGCGTGCTGGAACATTCACTCGTATGCGTGCTGGAACATTCACTCGTATGCGTGCTGGAACATTCACTCGTATGCGTGCTGGAACATTCACTCGTATGCGTGCTGGAATATTCACTCGTATGCGTGCTGGAACATTCACTCCTATGCGTGCTGGAACGTTCACTCGTATGCGTGCTGGAACGTTCACTCGTATGCGTGCTGGAACGTTCACTCGTATGCGTGCTGGAACGTTCACTCGTATGCGTGCTGGAACGTTCACTCGTATGCGTGCTGGAACATTATTATTACTATTATCTGTGAAACGCGTCATTTAGGAGTGTTATTCTTTACAAATCATCATTTTTGATTGTTTGAACAAGTTATCTGTTCAGAATCCGATACGTAAATAAGGGGCAAATGACGCGAGAGCACGCCAGGTGGTATCAAAATATGTTCTATGTAGACTCTCCGTGTGACGTGATCCGGGTTATTCCATCAGAAATGTTTTACATTGTATATGTCTGTGGTGGGTATTTTCTCACATTCAGTTGGATTTGTTGTGTGGATACAATGTATACATTTATAGGTTGAAGTCCTCGTAGTATCATTTAGACTTGTGCGCCGTCAAAAAATTTGTTCAGTTTCGGAATATCCGTTATTTCGTAATTCGTATCCGAAACTCAATTCGGATTCGTACGAAATGCGGATTTTCGTTAGTTTCGGCACATTTTCGTAACTTTACGAACATTCGTTATGATGAAGTTAAAAAGCAAAAATACCTTTGTTAATATCGGAGTCGATGTGGTCGTTGTTTTTTTTATCCGAAATACGAATTCCGTTAACGGATTCCGGATCCGAATTTCCTATTTCGGATAAAAAAAAAACTTACCATCAACTCCAATATAAATGTACTTTGCTTTTTAACTTCAATATAACGAATGTTCGTAACGGAACGCAAATACGTCAACGGAATTTGGTATTTCCTGCCTGTGTATTTGTAATGCAACTCTCAGCGGCAGCGGATCCGTATTTCGGATTAAAAAAAAAAATCTTGTCATGTTGTTCAACCTCATTTACAGGGGTAATATTAGTTCCCGTTTCAAAGAAATTCGGATCCGAAATTAGTTAACGGAATTTCGTATTTCGGATATAAATTCGGAAACTGCCATTCAGATTTCCGGATGCTTCCGAATTTACGAATTTCAGGAAAATTCGTACGGATTTCGATTCGTAACGAAACGAATGGCACATGTCTAATATCATTGTAACTCCTGGAAAGTCCCATCTATACAATGTTATTGATATTGGAATTTGGTGCTCCAGCATTGATTGATTTCTCTTGTGACTTCCTGTCGTGTGATATGAAGATTTCCCGGACTGTTATTATAATTGTGGCGCTCTCACTGTCTCTACACTCCTATGTAGCGGATGGCGAGCTCCGGTCCAACATGTGCACTGCGCTCCGAGCTCGCCGGGTGCTTTGCACATCCGAATAATGTTACTTCCATGTCGCCTTTTCCTATAACAAATCCATCAATACAAAATAAGTGTGTCCAGGAATGGCGGCAATGCTCACCTGTCCGGCCTCCCGTTCCCCGGATCGCCGCTCTCTTGCAGAGTTACAGAAGAATCTTTACATCCAATGCTTCTGGGTGCGTCACATGACTGCGTCCTGCAGCTCCGTCCGTCCTCCAGCTTATGCGTTACTACAGGACACAGCGGAGGCATAGGGGCCAGAGGTGAAAGAGTGTACCGCGTTTCCCCCGAAAATAAGAAACGGTGTTATATTTTTTTTGGCTCAAAAAAACACGCCAGGTCTTATTTTCGGGGGAAGGTCATATTTTTTTTTTTTATTTATAACAATCCAAAGTTAATGCAAATCCAAATTAAATAATCCAAAATGGCAAAGTTAATAATAGGGTGATCGGGGCAATCAGGGGTGCCGTATCTTTCCAAGAGCAATTTGGTAACCAGAATGAGCGAAGCGCGCTGTCACTATGGATTCCTCACAGGCGGAGCGCATTTGGTATGACTCCGCCTGTGACAGGAGGCGGGGCTATAGAGGAGGCGTCGGCTTACGCTGCGTCGGCTTACGCGGCTCTGCTCCCTCCGCTGCCGCCTCGCTTCCTCTACTCCGGCTTTGTTGGCACCGCTGATTCTCTCCCGCGACTCTTCAAGTTCCCCCTCATGCCGCCACCGGCCCTGGGAATGGTCACAACTAGGTCTTATTTTCAGGGGTAGGTCTTATATTTTAGCAATTCCCAAAAATGGTACTAGGTCTTAATTTCGGGGTAGGTCTTATTTTTGGGGAAACAGGGTAGCAGGGGGCACAGGTGTCGGGCAAAGCCGGATTCCGCCGTAGCTGCAAGAGAGAGAGAAGATGGGAGGAAGGGGAGGACAGATTGGGGAGAGGCAATGCTGGTCTTGTACTCTTTTTGACCAAAGTTTGTGTTTTTTTGCCCCCAATATATATAAATATAAATACCGTGTTTCCCCGAAAATAAGACACTGTCTTATATTTTTTTTTTCTTCAATGTACAACAATCTACACTTATTCATGTACAAAAATATGGTGATCAGGGCAATCAGGGGCGCCGTACCTTTCCAAGAGCAATTTGGTACCCAATCGCTGGCCAGAATGAGCGAAGCGCGCTTTCACTATGGATTCCTCACAGGCGGAGTGTATTTGGTATCACTCCGCCTGTGACAGGAGGCGGGGCTATAGAGGAGGCATCGGCTTATGCGGCTCTGCTCCCTCCGGTGCCGCCTCGCTCCCTCTAGCGCCGGCTTCGTTGGCACCGCTGATTCTCTCACGCGGCTCTTCAAGTTCCCCCCAATGCCACCAACGGCCCTGGGAATGGTCACAACCGGGTCTTATTTTCGGGGTAGTCCTTATATTTTAGCAATTCCCAAAAATAGTACTAGGTCTTATTTTCGGGGTAGGTTTTATTTTCAGGGAAACAGGGTATATACCAGCTCGCTTAGTATTGTACTACACCTCTGCCAAGGTAAGAGGCATATTGAAAACTCACTAGGGAATGTTCAGGTTTATTGCTTGGATTCTCCATACTAAGTAGCAGGGGGTGGGCTCTTCTACCTCATTGATGCCCAAAGACCCCCCATGTGTGCAGTCCAGCGGCAGCACGGTGGGTTACGCTGGCCATACACTGCTCGCGTCTGGCAAAAGTCAAGCAGTATGCGGCCTCTCCTGGGGAATAGTCGCCGTGTTCCCGAGTTTCCATTCGCCGCGTTGCCGGGCAGCTGCATAATCTCCCCCATGTAATTACGGGCAGCGCTTGTCTCTGAAATGGAAAGCAGACGTTTGATCTGCGAGCCGGTACATACGCCAGATGTAGTGCCAGGTGTGCGCACGCCGAGGGACCGACTACGACACGAAGACGAGCTGCCCGCTGCTGTGCCCGACAACCCCCAGGGAGAGGACCGGGGGCACGGTGCCATGCGGTACACGGGTAACCCAAGAACGCTGTAACATTGTTAGTGCGAGGGTCTCCGCGTACGCACCCGCGGCGGCGAATGTTCGCTTGAACCTTTTATAATACGTCTTCCCTTTTATATATCCGCGCCTGGAGGACGAGCGGGAGGTTCCACCTACGGGACACATACGCGCTCTCCTATGCTGCAGGCTGATCGTCCTTTGAGGGCTCATTCACACGTGTGCGTTGTGGGAAATCACGCCACACTCAAGCCGGCCGTACACCGGTAGGCTTTCATATGACAAATCCGGGCAGAACATTCGGAAAGCGACATCAGAGACGGATGAATGTCCTTCAAAATCTTGTTGGGTCCCATTTTTCAGTTGTGGATTGGATGACGTCTCTGCAATGGAAGCCATTGCAGAGACGCCCAGCTGTCGTTTGCGCGGAGATCAGTCGACCTTCCTCCACCTTCGCCTGTCACTATGGCTCAGCCGAGCCGAAGCATAGGGGTTCGGCTTGGCTGCTGTACGGGCTGTTGTGAATGGCCTGTACAGCAACCCTTTGGGTCAGTCGAACCGAAGGGCTTAGGCAGCCGAAGCTACGGCTGGATCCTTCAGCTCTGTAGTGACTGACCCTCTTAGTATCTCCACCGCGCACATTTGTTTCTTTTTCTAAAAAAAATGTTGTGTACTTTTGTGTGTATTTAAAATAAAGACAAATGTTGTTGTGTGAGTCCATTGAAGTGGCACCTGAAGTCCCCGTGCCCAGTATTTCATATACATATGTAGCTGATATCTCGTTACATTGTGTCATTGAGTCCGAACATCAGCCGCATTCTTATGGAAAACAAATTCTTTTTATTTAAAGGAGAACTATGAGGGGGGAGGGGG